ATACGAAGACGATCATATTTATTTAAAAACGCTATCGCGGTCTCGTCTCCATCAAATACGTTTTACGTTAACCCGTATAATAAGAATACGTTTTCAAATAAAAAAAATATAAATAAATTTTTTAATTATAAAACGCATTCTGTAAATGCGTTTTTAAAATAAAAATAATTTTATAATTTTTACAAATAAAAAATTTTCGGGAAAAAATATTTTCAATTATAAACGTATTTGGATTATACGTTTTTGGATAAAAAATCAATTTTCCCCTAAATTAAATTTTGCCCTAATTCAATTTGAACATAAACTGTATTCCAGGAATACAGTTTTGGAATAAAATAAAACAAAACGTATTTGGATAACACGTTTGCAATTGAAGAAATCAATTTTCCCCTAAATTCAATTTTGCCCTAATTCAATTTAAATATAAACCGTATTCCACGAATACGGTTTTCGAATAAAATAAATCAAAACGTATTTGGATAATACGTTTGCAATTGAAGAAATCAATTTTCCCCTAAATTCAATTTTGCCCTAATTCAATTTAAATATAAACCGTATTCCGGGAATACGGTTTTCGAATAAAATAAAACAAAACGTATTCTGTAAATACGTTTTAATCTATAGAAAAAAAATGGCATTTATTTTTTAAACGAATTAAACCGGAACTTGTTCAATATGTCATACGAAATAAACTTGTTCAACCAATCACAACCAAATAAACCTGCTCAACCAACAAATACCAATCAATTCACCAAATAATAATCCAACATAATATAAAAAACGATGAACCGCAATAAGTTATTAAAAAAACAGTACATACCAAAAAGGTCAAAATAAAGTTTATACATACAAAACAATCCGTTTTTCATTCAAACATAAACTAACACAATCTAACTACGAAGGAGTAAAGGGATCCCTAGGTTTGCGCACTCGGGACCCCTTCCGAACCTTTGGCCGTGAAGAAGACGAGGGTGTAAGGGTCTGTGTGAGATCTTCGGGATCCGACTCATTCTCTTCATTTGAGTCTTCTTCATCATCTGAGTCTTCTTCACCTGTGTAATTAATTTAGTAAAAAAATTACAAATTGGACTTGAGAAAAATTAAAAAGTCAAAAATAAAAGTCAAAAAAATTTATCTTTCTCTTAAGTAAATAAATCTCACGTTGTTC